AATCCAACCTAATATGAATATCCTTTGACCGTTTCTCCTCATCTTCTCTGGCCTGTGGGCTTCCACCAATTATTGGGCCGCTTCATATTGTCTCTCGGCCCGTTGTTGTTTCTGGTTCCGTGTGATTGTAGCCCCGATATGAATTGTTGCCTTCTGGTTCCAGCAGGGCGATTTGAGTAATTTGCCATCGCCACCAGCTGCTGTGTGGTGGCTTCAAGTCGGCGGAGATAATCCTTATGGCCCACGAGCAGGTCGTGAAGCTCTTCAAACATGAGGGATTTTTCTCGGTCTCAGATTGGCGCGGTAATTTCACGGTAATCAAGTCCCAAACCGTTGAGGATGTAGAGAGTGAGATCATCATCAGAGATGGGATGATCAATTAGGGCAATTTCGTCTGCAAGAGACTTTACTGTTTGAAGGTACTACTGAACTGTTTTATTTTCTTTCTTAATCAGAGTAAGCTCTTCTTTGAGTTGCATAGCTCTGGTGCGCGACATATTAGCGTACATAGTGCTTAATTTTTGTCATGCTTCCATGGAAGTTTTGGCAGCCTAGATGAAAGGGGTGATTGTGGAGGTAGTGGAGGCTAATATCGCACTAAGGATAAGTTTATCCTATGTGACCCAGTGGATTTTTGGAAGAAGAGAGGATGCAGGAGTATCATTGGGTACCGGGCAAGGATAATCGCCGGTGACATAATCTAGAAGATTATATCCGATTAGAAGAGCTTCAAACTGTGCATGCCATTGAATAAATGTTGAAGGGGTGAGCTTCTCGTTAATTTGGGCAGACGTGTTCAGGGCAATCAGTGGGAATTCATTTGGGGAAGGTGGAGTTGAGATTGGAGTGAAGGAATTGAGGATCGGGTTTTCGTTGGACGGCTGCTCTGATACCATGATGAAATTTGAATCTTGATTGTATATTGAACAAAATGATTACAATACAACAATGCCATTTGCAAAGGAATCGTGTGCTAGATATATACAAAGATTACATAACTATTCTATGAAAGCTGACTTAGGTCATGTTTGTCAAAGTTGATAAGTAATCATAATTCTCTCAAATTCTATGCATTTTCATAGAAGTAACAATTTTTATTTACAAAGAATCAAACTTTGTCAAAAAAAAAGAGATCATTGAAAAAAAAAAATCATTTAATAGATGCAAACACTAATTCTTACATATTTGAAACAAACTACCATATAAAAGAGTTTTGACCTGATATGATCATAAATATAAAATTTGGAGATTGATAATAATTTTGAGGAATAGTAATTCATTCAAATACAAAAAGAAAAATAAATTTTCTTCGATAAGCAGATAAGAACAAAATAAAATCAACTTAAAGAGTATAAAATTTGCTCAATGAAAATTTAGAATCCTGATTTTCAGATTCCACACAAAAGATGGAAATGAAGAATCAAATAGGAAAAGAAATTACAAAAAAGAACATACATTGATGATGAAGAAATAAAAAAAAAAAATTATATGCAATAAGTAACTAGATCACCAATAATTTTTATGCTTATACAAATAAATAGATCACCAATAAATAAAAACTATATCATTAACTATTTCTTAAAAGTAATGAATGTGATTTTTTTGTGTGATCCTTCCAGATCTTTGATGAAAATTGTTGACCTCGATTTTTCCTTATGGCAATATGATTTTCATTTTCTTAATGCAAAAAATTTCTGCTTTTTCTAATTTCAATGAAGGTAAATTAAGAAGACATGTTGAATAATGAATAAAAAAAGTATTACATATTATTATTTTTTGAAAAAAAATATTTATTTTTAAATAGAAGTAATTATATTATTTAACATCATATTATAAACTATCATGAGTTATACATGAATTATATTTCATTTGAAGATCAACTGGTTGAAAGATGAGAACCATGTTTATAATATTATAATTTACGAAATTTGC